GAGAGAACTGTATTAAAGGGTCGCCACAGCATGAGGGAACTGTATTAAATGGTCGCCACAGCATGAGGGAACTGTATTAAAGGGTCGCCACAGCATGAGGGAACTGTATTAAAGGGTCGCCACAGCATGAGGGAACTGTATTAAATGGTCGCCACAGCATGAGGGAACTGTATTAAAGGGTCGCCACAGCATGAGGGAACTGTATTAAAGGGTCGCCACAGCATGAGGGAACTGTATCAAAGGGTCGCCACAGCATGAGGGAACTGTATTAAAGGGTCGCCACAGCATGAGGGAACTGTATTAAAGGGTCGCCACAGCATGAGGGAACTGTATTAAAGGGTCGCCACAGCATGAGGGAACTGTATTAAAGGGTCGCCACAGCATGAGGGAACTGTATTAAAGGGTCGCCACAGCATGAGGGAACTGTATCAAAGGGTCGCCACAGCATGAGGGAACTGTATTAAAGGGTCGCCACAGCATGAGGGAACTGTATTAAAGGGTCGCCACAGCATGAGGGAACTGTATTAAAGGGTCGCCACAGCATGAGGGAACTGTATTAAAGGGTCGCCACAGCATGAGGGAACTGTATCAAAGGGTCGCCACAGCATGAGGGAACTGTATTAAAGGGTCGCCACAGCATGAGGGAACTGTATTAAAGGGTCGCCACAGCATGAGGGAACTGTATTAAAGGGTCGCCACAGCATGAGGGAACTGTACTGTGAGGGAACTGTATTAAAGGGTCGCCACAGCATGAGGGAACTGTATTAAAGGGTCGCCACAGCATGAGGGAAACTGTATTAAAGGGTCGCCACAGCATGAGGGAACTGTATTAAAGGGTCGCCACAGCATGAGGGAACTGTATTAAAGGGTCGCCACAGCATGAGGGAACTGTATTAAAGGGTCGCCACAGCATGAGGGAACTGTATTAAAGGGTCGCCACAGCATGAGGGAACTGTATTAAAGGGTCGCCACAGCATGAGGGAACTGTATTAAAGGGTCGCCACAGCATGAGGGAACTGTAATATAAAGGGCCGTGGCATTAGGAAGGTTGGTGTAGCAGCTGACGAAACGTACTATGAAGGCGTATACAGTATATAACATCAGCAGGTCAGGAGATGTCAGTTAACATGAGGAATACCAAGGAACCGACAAACTGTTAACAGCAGCAACACGATACAATGACACGGGTTAACATTAGCTAGCACAATACACCTGTTACTAGGACGCCTCATAAAACAAAAGTATGTCATTCAAACAGGCACCATTCCTCTATGGTTTTGCAAAACTCTAAACTGTATTGTGCTGGGTTAGTTCTTGGCAGGGAAAATGTATTCATGAGGGACCCAAAAATATGTTTACTTCATGCGTTTCGCAAATACTTTAACTATGGTTTTCCAAATTTACACAGCCTTGAATGTCTCTGGAACCAATCCTGTTCATAGCCAACTCAACTCAGAATCTTGTATTGAGTGGCCGGTGGAAATTTTACGATCAGAACTTCAATCGTTTGAGCCACACTTACTTTGGATTTCTTTATTTGGTGGATAAGAAGAATTTAAACCAAAGTCACACCGGTCACACAAGTGCCTTTGAAAGAAACTGTGAAATTCATAGGTATTAGTACTGAAAATACATATCTCCATAAAGGTCTACCTACCTCAGACGTGAGAAACTGGTACTCTTGTGCGTACTAAGTATCAAATTCAATTTTCCTAAGAAGTCCTAACGACAGACTGATCTAGCGGTCATCAAACATCGACTAAGCCATATTATAGCGATTATCTTTATGGCCAAGTAGATTCATGGCTGTAGTACCCTCATATCTATTATCATCTTTCCCGAGCACCCGAGACAATCATTATTCTACGTCGCCGGCTAACTAACCTCCCTTACCTCTTCATACTTTTTTTATATTTTTTTATATACTAATATCTACGCCTACAACACCACTATACCACTACATATCTTATTCATAGCGCCTTCAGTATTGTCTTATATAACCAATAGCGCCCACCGTAAAAACTTTAGTACTATATGTCTGTTTTCTATCATCACATATTCTCATCATGAAAGACAATCAATGCGAGCCCTGCTGACTTGAATCTCTTGTGTAAGTTTCCTTCATTGTCTTTACCCAGCAGAACATCATAGCTCATTCGCAGCGCCTTTATAGCGTCTCTATAGCCCCCACTTGTTCACCATCATCATCATCATCATAAACCACTTCTTTCGTTAAGCATCGTGGGGAGGAATAATTTGCGATCGCATGCACGTTAACTGCCATTGGCTATTGTCAGGCCGTGAAGGCGTAGAGTGTCTTTAATGTTGTCGATCAATGTTTTCCGCGGCCGTCCTCTTGCTCTGGTAGCTGATCTTCTGCGATGTAGTGCTTGTTATGTATGGTATTTGAACTTGCTATATTCTAACGAGATGGCCAAACCACTTGATCTGCTGTTTCTCGATGAATCTGGTACAAGGTGTCGTTCCCACAATTTGCCTGATAGTTTCATTATTCACTCGGTCTCGTATGGTTAGGTTGGCTGCTTTTCTCATGCACCTCATCTCGCAGGTGGTAATTTTGCGTACATGGGCTTTAGATAGTGCCCATACTTCCTAGATAAAGTCCCTAACTTGATTCAGAGCAGAAATATTCAACTGTGTGTGTAGTGGGGCAGGGGTTCTACTAACTTACATTGTTTCAGTTTTATTTGCATTGATCTTTATGTTGTACCCACTTGTTATCAGCAGTTAACCCCCCCCCCCCTCCCCCCAATGCTAATAGAAATGCGCAATAAATCCAAAAATCAGCTTATGAACTTTTAAGTACTCGGTGTTGTGTGCTGTCTTGGGTGTAACAACAATCAGCTTATGAACTTTTAAGTACTCGGTGTTGTGTGCTGTCTTGGGTGTGACAACAATCAGCTTATGAAGTACTCGGTGTTGTGTGCTGTCTTGGGTGGGACAACAATCAGCTTATGAAGTACTCGGTGTTGTGTGCTGTCTTGGGTGTGACAACAATCAGCTTATGAAGTACTCGGTGTTGTGTGCTGTCTTGGGTGTGACAACAATCAGCTTATGAAGTACTCGGTGTTGTGTGCTGTCTTGGGTGTGACAACAATCAGCTTATGAAGTACTCGGTGTTGTGTGCTGTCTTATGTGTGACAACAATCAGCTTATGAAGTACTCGGTGTTGTGTGCTGTCTTATGTGTGACAACAATCAGCTTATGAAGTACTCGGTGTTGTGTGCTGTCTTATGTGTGACAACAATCAGCTTATGAAGTACTCGGTGTTGTGTGCTGTCTTATGTGTGACAACAATCAGCTTATGAAGTACTCGGTGTTGTGTGCTGTCTTGGGTGTGACAACAATCAGCTTATGAAGTACTCGGTGTTGTGTGCTGTCTTGGGTGTGACAACAATCAGCTTATGAAGTACTCGGTGTTGTGTGCTGTCTTGGGTGTGACAACAATCAGCTTATGAAGTACTCGGTGTTGTGTGCTGTCTTATGTGTGACAACAATCAGCTTATGAAGTACTCGGTGTTGTGTGCTGTCTTATGTGTGACAACAATCAGCTTATGAAGTACTCGGTGTTGTGTGCTGTCTTGGGTGTGACAACAATCAGCTTATGAAGTACTCGGTATTGTGTGCTGTCTTATGTGTGACAACAATCAGCTTATGAAGTACTCGGTGTTGTGTGCTGTCTTGGGTGTGACAACAATCAGCTTATGAAGTACTCGGTGTTGTGTGCTGTCTTGGGTGTGACAACAATCAGCTTATGAAGTACTCGGTGTTGTGTGCTGTCTTGGGTGTGACAACAATCAGCTTATGAAGTACTCGGTGTTGTGTGCTGTCTTGGGTGTGACAACAATCAGCACACAGTCTAGTGTCCAAGGATACAGTGTTTGCTTCCACACATACAACTTTCAGGAAAACCCAACGACCTAATGTCTGCCATACATGTACATTTAATGTCACGACACAGAGGGAAGTCACAATCCCTGACACAGACAATTCAAGCCAAGCCATGTGGACATCTGTCCTGGCTAACCTGTAGATCTAGCCCCGCCTTTAGCTCGCTTCCCAAATATAGCCTCGCCCTCCCGGACAGTTTGCACTCTCTGTAATGTTGCGAACATTATTGATTGCCTTTTCAGCCTCGGTCATCTTTGTCAGCCGTGACCACCTCAGGGACACCAACAACTACATCCAGGTTCAGCCAATCGCAATCTTTCTGAGCATACTTACTGAGTCACCAATCAAGTATACATGAGTGAGGGTCTGTGTCTCTAGCCCATGTTATTGCTGACGGTATTAGCATGACCCTCATCGTCATACTAGTGAAGTCAGGGAAAGAGCACCAGACACCAGTCATATTGTGAACACTCGATTCATTCATACAAGCTCGACTGCAGTCAGCCCTGTTTTCAGCACTAACATTATACTCTGCCTGGTCCAACTTAGTTAATACGTAGACGTCGATAGCCCCAGTACAAACTTAACTGTTATTTGGCTGAACAGGGCTTCAGCCTTCTGTACCTATTTGTTTCTCATCATTGAGGTTTAATCTTGCAGAATGCACTTACCTACCCACAGTAGTATAATATCTGATCCATCTAATTTAAATGTCTTGTTGAGCTTTATGAATGTGCCCAACTATTGCATACTCTTGCATTGCATGTGATTTGAGCTGTGTTAAATCTTCTTTGTTATTTCGTCTCCATATCTGCCGTCAACCGAATTCAGTGACAGGTTTTATTACGCCAAATGAATGTTCTCTTACGATACAGTGAAGATTTTCAACAATAGGTAACGTTATTAAAAGTAACTGCTAAGATCTAATGAGATTTTTCAACAAAATACCCGCCAGTGACACAACGGCTTGAGATTTTGTTGACACATGGTGAGCAACAACTGAACTGCTGTTTGTCGCACACTATCTGTTTTCTTTCCCGCTGCCTATGTGACAATATTTACTTTCTATTGCAACTGACAAATAATAGGTCATGACCCCACCATCTCCTTCCACGGGTCCAACACAGCCTACCTCTTCAATGCCCCTCACACCAATGGAGCTTACATTCTGGACAACATTCATATACACTTCTGCACCAACGCTAAAGGCTCAGAACATGCTATAGATGGACAGTTCTACCAGGGTGAGGTAAGCAGGGCATCGATAGGGGTGTACTAGACGTTTTATACGGTCTGTCTGTCTGTCTGTCTGTCTGTCTGTCTGTCTGTCTGTCTGTCTGTCTGTCTGTCTGTCTGTCTGTCTGTCTGTCTGTCTGTCTGTCTGTCTGTCTGTCTGTCTGTCTGTCTGTCTGTCTGTCTGTCTGTCTGTCTGTCTGTCTGCTGTCTGTCTGTCTGTCTGTCTGTTTGTCTGTCTGACTATCTAACTACTGTCTGTCTGTCTGTATACCGTCTGCCCTTATGTCTATTCATCTGCCTGTCTGACAGTATTTTGTTTCTGTCTACCGTATATTGATCTGTGATGACATGTAAACGGTGACGATGACTGGCATCACATTCCTCCTATCTCTTACTCATATGTGATTCATATCTTCTAGAAATGAATACAATTGTAATAACTCACTGTTACAATGACCGCCCTGTAATGTTTTGATTGACTCCATCCTCTATCATTCTCTATGCTGCTATTACCATCATGGACGGGGAGAGGAGGAAAAGGAGGTGGGGAGGAGGTTTGCATTGATTAGCTACTTGTTTATGTAGCAGAATGTGGCAACAGAGAGCGCTCGTTTTTTAACTAGTGCCCCAAAAGACGCTTATGGCTTTTTTCAGAGGATGTCTTCTCCCCCCCCCCCCCCCCCCCCCCGTACAAAAATGTACTGTTTATTATTCACGTAGTCAAATATACAAAGAGAATAAACACTCATCGCCATCCTCATCAGTTTCCCTTTCTGCCATTATGCTAAGTGGGGGGGGGGGGGGGGGATGGTTGCCATACATTGTTTGATGGGCAGCATGGGACATTGTCATTGATTGTTTGATGGGCAGCATGGGACATTGTCATTGATTGTTTGATGGGCAGCATGGGACATTGTCATTGATTGTTTGATGGGCAGCATAGGACATTGTCATTGATTGTTTGATGGGCAGCATGGGACATTGTCATTCATTGTTGATGTAGAAGCTCTTTAATTGCATCGGTCCATGACCTCCTAGGGCGACCTCTTGTTTCACTTCAGATCTGTTCAGCTGGAGCACCTGCGTTGATAGTTGTTCTGGCTGCATTCTTACAAGATTACCAAACCATCAGATTGCCTGTTCTCACTAAAATGGCTGCATGGTGTTGTTCCCATATTCTGTTTGATAATATTATTTCTAACTTTGTATTGGATAATTTGGATTGCTGCTTTTCTCGTGCATCTTTTTTCACAGGTTTTAGGTTTAGGTAGGTTAGCCTTTGATAAGAACAAACACATCGAAAAAGAAGATCTACTGCGCAAGGGTCAGCATTTGTTGTGGTACTTATAACATATGTATTTGTCTCTTGTCCGAAGGCGCCCACCTTAGCACATAATGATAGTTTATGTTATCATTTACTTCAAATCCTCATGGAGGTTCCGAGGCCTCATTGTGGGGAAAACAATACTAAACTCATCGCCTCCCCAACAAGCATGTCGTAAGAGTTGATTAACTGGGAGCTTCATTCAAAATCCAAGTACATCTGCCTGAGAGTCAAGGAACCAACAGTCTGAATACAAATAATCCAGATCTGTAAAACGAATTTGCACGCAACACTCAGGTTCTGTAACAAGATTACATTCCATATGTGTAGAAACAACGAGAACCTTCCGCTGGAGTTGACAGCCGGTCATCTGGAAGAAATGAAGAATAATTTAAAACATTTGGTGTCAACAATATTTATTACTTATTTATACATTCGCTAGACTGTTCGACAAAATTTAAAAGGAGGATGGCCATAGCAATGGAAAGATTGAACAGCCTTAAAAGTCTATAGCTAAGCACCAGCAAGGAGATCAAATTTAGAATTTTGAGAGCATGCATCTTCCCTGTGGCTACATACGGATGTGCGTCGTGGACTATCTCTCAGTCCCTAAGAAAGAGAATACAAAATTCTCAGAATATCTTGGACAAAGAAGATGAGAAATATTGACAGCTTGAAAGATCTGAACACCAAGGAAGATAATAAACAGCTTCGTTTCTCGAAAGCTGAAATATTTTGGTCATATCAAGCGCCACGACGGACTGAAAAAAATTATAGCAGAAGGCATGGTACCAGGAAGGAGGGGCAGGGGCCGACCGACACGAAGATAGGCACAGGATATAAGTGACTCCTTGAGTGTGAAAGTGCATAAGGCGGGAGAACTGGCGACAGACCGAGTTTCTTTTAGGCAGACTGTGATGAGAGCGACGTTCTGCAAAGGACCTGCTACATGATGAGGATGATAATTTACATTCGTTACTTTATAATTAAAATTGCTTATTACACTTAGATTCAGACTAAGTATTTATTAATTATAATTAATATTACTCACCATGTTGTTATAATATATATCAGTACTCACACACTCACATGGTGCCTTCTGTAGGACTACTAGTAGCATGACAATGGAGGTGATGGCGGTAACACAAGCTTTCGTGTGGCTGGGATCGCATGGCTGTTCTCAGGTGTGTGTGCTGAGTGATTCCATGAGCCAGCCGAGGCGGGCTTTGTACGCAGACAGTGGATCGAGTCATTGAAAAACTCCACTGTACGTGGAGTTAACTTTATCTTTGTCCCAGGGCGTGTGTCTTCGGCAATGAAATAGCTGAAAGATTAGCCGGTTCTGCCTTAGTTACAAAGAGTCGACCCATGGATCATGCAGACATTGTTAATACCATTAGAGAGATAGAACAAGGGAGCAGCACATCCCCATCTTTGCAAAGAGCGCAAGAATTGGGAGAAAAGATCGGCACAGCCAGGTACAAGAAACACATAGTACGCATGAGAAGTCATTTCAACTAACATAGGACTGCTGGGACTATCAACCGCGGGACGCTGATGTGTATGTTGAAGTGGGAATCTAAGCCCCTATGGACATGTCAGAAGTTCCGTGTAGGTAACTCATAACTCATAACATACACACATGTATAAGGCTGACCTGTCAGCAGATAACATGTAACTTGCTATTTTGATGGGTCAGTTCTTGGCCGGGAAAATGTATCCATGAGGGACCCAGAAAGATGTTTACTTCATGCGTTTCACAAATACTTTAACTACGGTTTTCCAAATGTACACAGTTCTTGAATGTCACTGGAACCAATCATGTTCATGGCCATCTCAGCTCAGAGTCCTGTATTCGATGGCCGGCAGGAACTGTAAAACCATCTTGATCATCAGTTGATGAACCAGGTTGAAGGTTCCATCGCCCTGGAAACTTCACATACAGCTGTCCATGCCAAAGGGACTTGTCAGTCAAATCCATTCCTCTGTCTTTCAGCGATCGCTCTCACATCTTTTTACTTGTGGTTGCAAATACATATCGAACAGGAAATCGCGATCGTCTGAACAACAATGGCGTCAGTCAGAATTAGAGGTATTTTTTTCGTGAGAAATACAGCATCGATGAGTTGATTACTAATCTATAATGTGCCGTTGCCGACAGATCCATCTCGTCCACTACAAAGCAAGTTATGGAACCCTGGCCAAAGCTGTTCAACAGGAGGATGGTTTGGTTGTCGTCGGTATCATGTTGCAGGTAATAGCTCTAAATTTGACAACATCTGCTACTATTACTAATGCTGCTGCTCTACTACTATGCTACTACTATAAATACTAGTGCTGCTGCTATTACTACCGTTGCTGCTGCTATTACTACCGTTGTTGCTGCTACTGCTTCTAGTACTACTACTTCTCCTACTAATGCTGCTACTACTACTACTACCACCACCATCACCACAACTATCTTCACAACTACTACTTCTGCTGCTACATTTTGTCATTCTGCGTCATGAGAATACTCTTCTGAATACTCTCCTCTTTGTTACCTTTGTGCAGCTCACTGCATGCTTGACAAAGGCTTCCGGTCGAAATATTATTTGTGTTGTTTTATGCACGTTTTTCTGCTTTCCCATTTCGTTAGGCTTTTTAGTCATGTTTCACTGAAAACCTCTGCGTCGCGAGAGGACGACACATCTGGTAATATAATGTGATTACTATCAGCATCACAGCATACTGGACGTTTAAATGCGCACACAGTCCTTCTATACAGCAGACTTTCCAAAGAACTTATATAGTGTTTGTTCTCACGAAAAGTTTGTTACAATGTATTTTTCCCTAATCTCAAAGGATGAAACTGCCGCCTTCACTGGGCACTGCTCTGAGATCATATAATCAGGTTAAAATTAGGAATGGTCATAATCAGCCAGCCTAGCCTGCATAGGGTTGATTTTATCCGCTCGGTCATTCATCTGGCACGTGATGGTGCCGTACTTTCCCACCTCGTCTACTCGTTCGTTGCCCTTTACTCCGGCATATGTGTGCATCATTTATGATGGGAGTTGTGGCTTCAGATATCATCTCTGTTGTCTTTTGCAGAGTAGGTCCATTACTGTTGTGTCTGCGTGGCACTGTTTTGTAATAATGTTGATACATAAATTCCAGACCATATTTTGTGTCATAGCGCGCCGACACAGAGAAATATTGGGGGAAAAAAAAGGGGGGGGGGGGAGCTCAGTCCTCTTACTTTTCTGGGGGGGGGGGGGGAGTAAATTGGCGTCAAAGCGATAGTGCAGGGACTGGCCAACTGGCGCTGCAGAAACAGAAGTTGAACAAATGATTCATGACAATTCCCACCCAAGTGATGTGATTGTCTATACAGATGGCTCTGTGCTGAGAGGCGGACGAAGTGCATGGGAGCTCACAGTGAAGATTATTGGACGTCGCATATGATATCACAACGTCTAGTTTGGGAATAGAGGTGGAGGCAGTCACTGCTGCCTTCCGCTGGCCTGAGAATCAGCTTTACACACATGCCGTCATTGTAACTGACTCACAGAGCATGTTGAGAAAGTGGAGACAGTCTCGGGTAGTTAGCACCCTTTGGATATTTTCTCCAGGATATGCCGGTGTGTTGGGAAATGAGCAGGCAGATAGACTGGCCGGTTCTGCATCATTTGGTAATGAACTGATTAACTGCATGTTGTGAGGTCCTTTTGGGAGCGAGTGAACAGTGCCGAAACACAGAATAATCAGTGCGGTCTGAGGAGAATGTCACTGCGAAGAGTTACAAGGGGATCTGGCTGACAATCGACACTCAGGGGATAGGAAAGTTTTACAATCAGACAGTTACCGTTACCATAGGAATTTTAACTCTTCGCTTGCTGCTAAAGAGGGTGATGGAGCGCTTGGCTCTTGTCGCGAGTGCCCAGGTGAATAAACTATGTTTTGATGAGTAAGAGTTTGCTCTCACCCCTTCACCTCCACGAGAGGAACTGGACTAATTTTTGAGCTGTTCGGATCTCTGATGAAGTCCTAGATTTCCAAGAAAACAGCTACATTTGGCTCGTCATGTAAATTAACAGCAGCAGCACTTGGTACACACAGGGAAAGGAAAGGGGTTTCAGATGTCCGGATTACTATAGTTAATTTCTTGTTAGACAGGGTAGGTGACCCCTGTCGTCGACCGCCTCCTGGTAAAGAACTATTAATGAGCCCCACAAAATGTAATTACGTCTAGCAGTTTTTGTTAAACAGGTAAGAACAAATACACTTACAATTTAACAAACAATATCGTATAAAAAGTGATATATTGATTTATTATACATTAATCATTTAGATGACATCTGTCATTGTAACATAATCACCCAGTGACTGGCTCGTGGTTAGTTGTATTTAGAGGCTTCAGCTAGAGAACTGAGCACCTGAGATTAGATTGATGTTCTTATGATTTTTTTTTTTTTTTTGTATGAACATGAAAACATACCTGAAAAACATGTAATACAAAAATTAAAAAAAAATAGGATTGGTTTACCAGCTTCCTAACTGAGATAACTGAATACTTACAAAGACATTTTTCCAGCAGAAAATGTATTTAGAATACTTTAAAAAGGCAAAGTAAAATAGCTAGACTCCTACCTAATGAATTTTTTTTTCAAACAGAAATTATTATTCAGTTATACGTGGGAAAATTCCAGCAATTTGCCAAGCAAAAGACACACAACTAGAATTATTTTCTACTGTTGATCTGAGTTTGTGGCATGCTCGCTGCATTCTGAATTAAATTCCAGAGGCCTAACAGTATTATATGGCCATAAATATCTGCTAAAATCAAAGTCTCTGACTCGCAACACTAAGATCTAAATATATAAAACATGGATAAGACCAGTATTTTTATGTGGTTCTGAAACTGGAGCACAATTAAAAGAGATGAAGTCTTATTTACAAATTTTCGAAAAGTCTTACGACGAATCTTTGTGTACTAGAAGCAAATCCAAAAAGGAATTGTGTTTTAGAGGAGGGAAAGAGACACTTTAAAGGATAGTATAAAAATATAATCATAGAACCTATCTCAACTCCAAACCTACAAGATCTCCAACGATGTCGTGGTTAGTGGATGCAAACCCACGCTTAAGCTGCCTCAGAAATAAGAGGGGAAAAAAAAGAGAGAAAAGTTCGTTACTCAGGGGTTTCAGACCATCTTGTCTCATCCTGATAGTATATTTTTTGTATAAAGTCTAGATAGCAGTAACAGTAAAACTAGGCACACCAACAACAAGTCCTAATCCAAATCAAACAACTGGAACTTTAATTATCACATTGAACATATGTTTATTTTACTTAAATAGAATCAGCGTGGCTCACAAAAAACAATACAGTAAGGACCAGAATCGCTTCTACACAGGCCACACTTTAAGCACCTACTCACATAAATAAAATCACTTCTAGCGACATAACATCAAATATCTTCTAGCGCTGATATACACACAGTTTAACAACCAGAGAAAATTTATGTCTAAGCTAAACTAACCTTAAAATACACCACCGCCATAATTAAGCAGTCAGACCCTCTATCTCGGCCCGGTCATCGCACATGCGTCGTGATGAGACCTTCTGCGATCAACATCACAAACACTGGGGAAACTGACCGGAGCACGAGACACACACCCAGATAGGGAGCGCAGCCCAGTGCAAGCTTTTTTATTTACTCCTGCATGCCACATTTTTATGGTAAGTGGAGCTAGACAAATAAATCATAACCGGCATTTGCAACCCGGCTACATTTGGACCAATCAAAGATGCAAACAACTGGAAATGGAGAGTGAGAAGCAACAATGAAATTAATAATCTGTTTAAATCACCACTGATCACTGGCATCATAAAAACTAAAAGACTAAAATGACTGGGACATATTGAGAGAATGTCGGATGACAGAGAAGTCAAAACTGTACACACAAGGAAGCTGAATGATCGTAAACCACGTGTCAGACGAGGAAGACGACAGACCTGGAAGACAAGCAAACACTTGGTGTCACTAACTGGAAAGAGAAGGTCAACCAGAGAGATGGCTTGAGGTGGGTGATATCTGCAGCAATGAACCGCAGGAGCTCGGAATGCTGAAGAAGAGGAAGAACAAGATTTAGAATAAACAAAGAAAAAAAAACACTAAAACGTCTATATATATTTGGGTTTGGGGCAACGGGAGGAAAAATAAGCACACTTACAAATTTAAACGGGTGCGGGCTGAGGGAGCTCAAGGTGACTAAACTCTCATTAACCGGAGCTCTTGGCTTGTGTTATTTTCAAATTTTATATCTATATAATTAAATTAATGCTGGGATACCGGTTTCGATCCCAGCTGCGGGCCATGCGTTTTATAGTAGCGTGAATTTCACAGCTCAGCTAGTTCTGTAAACTAAGTTTATTCAGGGGCCAACAGTTTGAATATGGGAATCAACACAGGCCAAAGTGCCAAGCCCGAGCCATAGCAAGGTCATCATTACAATACCGCTGGCAATGAGCTGCGGACCAGGTGCTAGACCCTGCGGATTAGATCTGGCCCGCCGGTTGCCGATTAAATAGCATGTAGCCGAAAACATTTCAATTAGAGAATGAATCTGATAGGTTCTAATATCATAACTCTCTTTCTCTCTCTTTTTCTCTCTCTTTTTCTCCCCCCCCCCTCTCTCTCTCTCTCTCTTTCTCTCTCTCTCTCTCTCTCTCTCTCTCTCTCTCTCTCTCTCTCTCTCTCTCTCTCTCTCTCTCTCTACTATTATGTTGATTTTTTTCATTTGAAACTTTCCACCCGTACCTTAGGCTGCTATCGCCTCCCCCCCCCCACCCCATTGCATTCTACGGGTGGAAGGAGGGGGGGGGGGCACCTTGGGAAACTCTGAATGGAGTTTATGTGAAAGATTACCTGCACATTATGAAGACATTGCCTTTAATCTGCTTACCTGACATTTATCACATTTACCACCTGGTGGCTGATTGATGAACTTAGTTGTATTATAACAGATTGTTTGATAGACATAATGATACATATTAGGAGTTTGAAAATAGAAATGATTGAGGTCGCGATTTTAGTTATAAAACATCATCATCATTGTCATTGTGTACCTCTCATGCAATAGGGTTCATTCAAGAAAGGCTAGGAACAAATACAAATGTGTAGACAACCGCTGGTATCAACAGTTATATTATAAAGAAGATGGCCATGAATTGGCCCTTCGGAGAAGAAGTAGAAACAGCATAACTGATATGAAAACAACTGGACTGATTAAAACCATTAGGCAAGCACTGATAAGAGAGACGAAATATGGTTCACTGGGTTGTCTCAAACATTAAAAATACAGCACAGAACAGAAAGGAACAGAGAAAAGACTGTCATTCTAGCTGACAAATAAATGACGCAACAAGAAGACGAGGAGTATTGTCACATCTGCGGATACTGTGGCGGTACTGACAAACGACTTTATTCATTCTTCTACTGTCTCATAGTCTAGGGCTGGTTACGCCGGCGATATGAATCAAGAGCTTGTGAAGATTATCCAAAGAATGGGCAACCTTGAAGGCACGGGCAAAGGTACCGTACAGTGTGTATGTCTGCATGTTTTGATAATTGAATCTCACGTTGTCTAATAGTCCAAGGGTGTTTAGTGTAAGATAATTGATTTCATTTAACAAGTCTTATGCCATATGGTTCTGAGGTGCCTTGCCGACTGGCGTGGGCGATCATGCCTCTCTACAATCTCCGATCTCCTGCGACATGTATCAGTTCGTGTGCTGCCATGCAACAAGACTGTCAAGCATCTTCTCTCGTTGTCTTCCTCTATCCCTCCTTCCACAGATCTTTCCAGTGGTCACAACATGTTCTATTTTCCCTCTTCTCATAACATGGCCGAAAAATGATGATTGTCTCTTTCTGATGTCTGTGATAAGTTGTCTTCGGGCTCCCGACTCTTTCAAAACCTCTCAGTTGCTCTTTTTGCTGTCCATGGTATTTTAAGCATTCTTCTGTAAAACCACATCTCTAAGGCCTCAAGAAATAGTTTTGCCTGCCTCCCGATTGTCCAGAACTCACAGCCATATGTTAAAACTGGATGTATGTAGCAAGCAAGAATTCTTCTTTTTTTCTAACCCTCAATGACAAGGGTATATTGCAAAAGATGTTCTTGATTTGATAAAATGCAGTTTTTGCTTGTCCTATTCTGTTTCTTATCTCAGTATTGCATCTTCCATCTGATGTTATGCATTTGCCCAGAAACTTAAATTTATGTGCTGTCCTAAAATAACACCATTGACTTTTATTACGCATTTAGGAATAATTCCTTTCTTTGATACAACCATTACTTCTGTCTTTCGTTTTTTTTTTTTCAAACTAAGGCCCATTCTTCCACTTAATATGAAGCACAAACTCCATAGCCTCGACGACGACCCTCAGAGATTACCGAATACTGTATAGCTTGTATATGTCCATACAGTAGCTTGTATATGTCTATACAGTAGCTTGTATATGTCCATACAGTAGCTTGTATATATCCATTCAGTAGCTTGTATATGTCCATTCAGTAGCTTGTATATGTCCGTTCAGTAGCTTGTTTATGTCCGTTCAGTAGCTTGTATATGTCCATTCAGTAGCTTGTATATGTCTATTCAGTAGCTTGTATATGTCCATTCAGTAGCTTGTATATCTCTATTCAGTAGCTTGTATATGTCCATTCAGTAGCTTGTATATGTCTACTTAGTAGCTTGTATATGTCCATACAGTAGCTTGTATTTGTCCATTCAGTAGCTTGTATATGTCCCTTTTTCATGTAGATAAAATTTATAAACTCGCCTTTAAATAGTGTCGACAGGAAAACTAGAGTCTGCAGGCTTCAGATTGGTACGGAATGACTCCCGATAAATCTAAATTTGATCATGGATTAGTCTAATTCTGTGACATTTTTTAATTTTTTTTTTATTTTTCTGTGTAAACATATTTTTATGGTTCACAGAATACCAGCTTCCAGTTCAATTGAATGTTGCACGAATCTTTCCAAAATCGACCAACTTTTATACATATGAGGGGTCAATGACATCGCCACCATGTTCTGAGTCAGTTCGCTGGATTATATTCCGAGAACCAGTCAACGTGTCCAGTGCTGAGGTAATTCAATGAATATTATTCCCTTGTGGTTTGTTCATAGGCACGGCGAAACTGCAGCACATTTCTATTTGCATCCAGTATTGCCCTTAACACTCCCTGCAATCAAGCTTTAATTCTTTTATTCTGTATATGTGCCCACTATATGTCTGTATATGTGCCCACTATATGTCTTTATATGTGCCCACTATATGTCTTTATATGTGCCCACTATTTGTCTGTATATGTGCCCACTATATGTCTGTATATGTGCCCACTATATGTCTTTATATGTGCCCACTATTTGTCTGTATATGTGCCCACTATATGTCTGTATATGTGCCCACTATATGTCTGTATTTGTGCCTACTATATGTCTGCATATGTGCGCACTAAATGTCTGTATATGTGCCCACTATATGTCTGTATTTGTGCCCACTATATGTCTGTATATGTGCCCACTATATGTCTGTATATGTGTGCACTATATGTCTATATATGTGCCCGCTATATGTCTGTATTTGTGCCCACTAAATGTCTGTATATGTGCCCACTAAATGTCTGTATATGTGCCCACTATATGTCTGTATATGTGCCCACTATATGTCTGTATATGTGCCCACTATATGTCTGTATATGTGCCCACTATATGTCTGTATTTGTGCCTACTATATGTCTGTATATGTGCCCACTATATGTCTGTATATGTGCCCACTATATGTCTGTATATGTGCCCACTATATGTCTGTATATGTGCCCACTATATGTCTGTATATGTGCCCACTATATGTCTGTATATGTGCCCACTATATAATCCTTACATTTTAATGTGAGTAGTAACCCCTCATTCATGAAAAAGAACTCAAATACTTGCATGCAACTGTGTGTTTCACAGCTACTTGGACATGGTAGTTGGCTGGCGCACCTATGTCTGAGATAAGAAGCTGCACATATGGTAGAGGAGCACTGTCGTAAACGTAGTGATGCCTACAGTGGTTTATTAATCTGTTCAAGCAAAGCGGAGTTTAAAAAATGGGTTTCGTTTTTAAATGATTGGATTGGGCTTGAACTGTGACACATTTAGGCTACTATCAATTAAACACTTTTATGGGAAACAGGGGGTTGGGGAGGGGGTGTTTAGGACTTTATCAAGTCTTTTTATGTGTATACATATTGTTTTCATGCTTATTTCGTTTTATTTTATATTAAAACAATAATTATAATAATGTGTGGAAGGAAACATCACCTCACTGACACTGTTCGTCTTTTATATAGCATATTCCCATATCCAGAAATATTAGCTACTTGTTCATCTCTTATAGCCATGTACTTTTGTGGTATTTTCATTGCCAGGCTAAGTTACCAATGGCGGACATAGTCACTGACAGGTAGATAGGCAGCCATCAGGCGTTGGCGACCAAGGTTTTGCGAAGAGCGTCTGATATGACTGTAAAGTCCAAGATGGCAGTGGCATACAGTCATACAGTCCACATAAACACGTTGATACGCTAACATTGTTAGGCTGGGTTTTTCCTTTCTCTATAGATTGCAGCGTTCTGCCTCTTGCAAACTGCAGAAGTCTGTCTTTCACTGTCTGCGTTCAAAGTAGTAGGTCCGGAGCTATCTTTTCCAAAGTCTCTGTGCCAAAGGTGATATCTTTCAGGTCGCGTTTGCATACGTCCTTATAGCGTAGCCTTTGCCTTCCTGCGGGTCTTATTCCTGTTACCAGTTCACCATAGAGGAGAACCTTTGAAATGAGACTGTCCTCCACGCGAGAGACACGTACCAACTAAAGCAGGCGTTTTTGCTTCACTAGAGAGTTTCGCCGCGATATACCAAGAATGCGTCTCATACAACTTACGCAGAAGGTATTCAGTCTTGTTTCCCTGAGAAGCATACAAAGTCCGTGTTTCACTGCCGTAAACAAGAGTGGACAGGACGCAAGCTGCATAAACTTTAATTTTGATCCTAACCGTAAGTTTTTTGTTTGACCACACTCTTGTGAGTTTGGGACGCATTGCGGAAGTCTTTCTTATTCGTCTGTTTAGTTCTGCATCTAGGGAAAGATCATCTGCGATTCGAGAGCCCGCGTATTTATGTACAACAACAGCTTATGGTCATAAACCTCATACTTCATAATATTACTTAAAAAAAAAAAAAAAAAAAAAGCATTGATCTTAATCCGCATTTATAGGCGTAAAGGAAAGAGAAAGGAAAAGTAGGACCTACTAAACAATATGTTTGTCCTCGCTTGTATGAATCCCGGTGTGTTAATATTTTCTGTGTTTTTATGGTCTATCTTCTGACGTTTCTGCCTTTATTGATTCTATGAACGCCAGTAAAAACTGTAAAAATACTTCGCATGCTATTGAAAAATTCTCGGTAGCTCGCCATACAAAGATATTCCTTGATATTATGTGGAAGCTAGGGAAAGGGGGAGGGGGGGGGGGGTCAATAAGGCGATATGGATGGGCAAAAATATATACAAACGTAAGATGGATATAAACGGAGTTAAAACTGGCAAACACAATATAAATATTCTGCGAAAAGCAGATTAATTTGAACAGCAGTCTGAAAATGCCTAGCACACTATTTTAGACAAGGTAGTGGGCTACCAGCTGTCGAACACAACACGAAAAATGTGTCATTGGGAATCAACAAGATTGCATATGCCTTTCTTTAAGCACAGTATGCTAGTTATGATTATGACGATCATACTTTTCATCACATTATAATTACGTATTTTTTAAAATACAGTCATACATAAACAGATATTTTCGGCCATGTTATGAGAAGAGGGAAAATAGAACATGTGGTGACCACTGGAAAGATCTGCAGAAGGAGGGATAGAGGAAGACATCGAGAGAAGATGCTTGACAGTCTTGTTGCATGGCATGGAGGTGTGTCGGCACACGAACTGATACATGCTGCAGGAGATCGCAGATTACGGAGAGGCATGATCGCCCACTCCAGTCGGCAAGGCACCTGATGATAATGATGATTTTTTTAAAGTGCATCTTTCTGTTTTTCCTAGATGGACATACTGCGGCGTTTGCCCAATGAAGACCGAAGCTCTACTGTCCAGTCGTGCAACGACAGACCGCTACAAACTGGCCATACACGGGTGGAAACCAACTTTGCTTGCTCGTCGGTCACAAACATGGCTGCAGAAGAAATCTAAACTAATTATTGTTTTTTCTTGTTGTTGCATTAATTTTGAGGAGAATATTTATAACTTCTTCTGGGTATTCGGTTATTGTGAATCACAATAATATAACCATCATCATCATTATGCGCCACTAAAATTAGGTTGTCATAATTCCCCATATCAAATATTCACAAGAATTACTAATCAGGTCAGTGCCCTGGTCTCTAGCTACCCAGGTATAACTCATTTTGCCTTTCTTTTGCCCTCCTTCCCTGGACAGTTGTTGCTACTAAGGTCTCGAGTTTATTCTTTTTTATAGGTCCGGGGGAAAAAAATGACTGCCTTAGACTGATTATTCTAATACTTTTACGACTTTCTATTACTTCATCATATTCTCTGCATTCTTCTTTAAAAAAATATATATAAATTCTTCCGTCGGTAAATTTTTCAGCTTGTCTGCTAATCTTCCATGTCTCACATGCATTTTAAAAACACCGTCTGGAGGTGACAGGTTCAATTCCCGGCACGGTAACTATAGCTTTCGATTTTTATGTTGTCTAGTGTGTTCTTCTATCTTTCTACTTCTTTCTATGAGTGCCGTTCACAATACTTTCTGTTACTTGATTAATTCATAATATTTAACGGCTTCAAATGGTTCCCCTCTCTGTTTATTTATAGGAATGACGTATACACACCGGAACCTACCAATCAAATACCTTTCTTAAATGTTTGTGTATTCTAGACAGGGCAATAAGGTCTACTGTGTACGTAAATTGTTGCTGTGATTGTTATTTGACATTTGCCTCGTTAATATAAATTTCTGTAACCTATGGTGCCTTTTCAATGGGTTGAAATGAATTCTGTCCGTATTCCATAGTCGTGGATTTCAAGCTGTACGATAGACATGGCCAATGAGACACCTTTTTTGGGGGTGCCGAGTTGACCATGTATCTTAGTGCACTTGTATTCATGGCGAGGCGCAGACGCCGTCTGGAGGTGACAGGTTCAATTCCCGGCACGGTAACTATAGCTTTCGATTTTTATGTTGTCTAGTGTGTTCTTCTATCTTTCTACTTCTTTCTATGAGTGCCGTTCACAATACTTTCTGTTACTTGATTAATTCATAATATTTAACGGCTTCAAATGGTTCCCCTCTCTGTTTATTTATAGGAATGACGTATACACACCGGAACCTACCAATCAAATACCTTTCTTAAATGTTTGTGTATTCTAGACAGGGCAATAAGGTCTACTGTGTACGTAAATTGTTGCTGTGATTGTTATTTGACATTTGCCTCGTTAATATAAATTTCTGTAACCTATGGTGCCTTTTCAATGGGTTGAAATGAATTCTGTCCGTATTCCATAGTCGTGGATTTCAAGCTGTACGATAGACATGGCCAATGAGACACCTTTTTTGGGGGTGCCGAGTTGACCATGTATCTTAGTGCACTTGTATTCATGGCGAGGCGCAGACGCCGTCTGGAGGTGACAGGTTCAATTCCCGGCACGGTAACTATAGCTTTCGATTTTTATGTTGTCTAGTGTGTTCTTCTATCTTTCTACTTCTTTCTATGAGTGCCGTTCACAATACTTTCTGTTACTTGATTAATTCATAATATTTAACGGCTTCAAATGGTTCCCCTCTCTGTTTATTTATTTTAAAAACAGGTTCCGTATAGCACTTTGAAAAGCCCTTTTTTTTTTAATAATATACTTACATGTAAAAACTATAACTTCTGCCTCCATCCTTTAAAAAAGTGAATATCAAATCGTGTGGTGGTTTACAACTAGGCTGAGATATCCGCATCTTTCGTCCAACTCTTCTATTTTCAGGGTGCTAGCGAAAAGATGGAAGAGAAAAACAAGAAGAATGCGAGAAATGTGGTGGTTCCCCGTTGAACAGCAAAAGTAGAGAAAAGACAAGGGTTCTTCTGTGCAGGAGCCACGGAATCTGATCAAAGCCCTGGGTGAAAAAATGTGTTACACAACTGCAACAACTGACTGCAACTATATAGGTAACGCCTAGTGAGACCACATGCACAAACTTCAAGTTATATCTTGAATCAAGCAAATGAATATAACCATCACATTCAACATCTGTTTATTTTACTGAACACAAAACTCACATAGAACACAAATAATACTACATTAACAACTGACAAAGTGTCCACGCATACATGTGCTAAGAACTTCATCTAGCAAAGGTGAAAAATCGCTTCTTGTGATTTAAAATTCAAATATCTTTAAGCGATGATACACACTGACATTTAGCAAAAGTCAAATTCAATAATGATGGAAATGTATATATAACACTATATCTGCTACTGAACTGTGCTACCACCGAGAAACTATTGCTAGCCTGTCCTTGAAACAGTCGCCGCTCTCTCTAGGGCGACCGGTCGGTCCGGTGTGCGGGAAGCTAAGAGGCCTAACTTTATGTCCCGATTATGCTCACGACCTGCCAGATTTTTTCGCATGTGCAGCCAAACTGAAATAATCAATAGCCTTCGGCACCCTACCACAACAGCATACCCTTAATGAATCACCCTTCACGGCATTCTTTTTAAAGGGCCGTGTGTCTGTCCCCAACACCCCACCTCCAACTGGAGGCTAGGGAACTTTTCAAGGAATCAAAACAATATTACCTTGTTCTTCTGATCAGCGTTCTGGTACCGTATGTCTGATAGTCTACTGGATTTAAACAATCTCCAGCCAGTCTCGGCTTCGTATCGCAGATTTGATAAGAGACTGAAGAAGTGCCAATTCTAAGAATGCTTGTTATTAGTTCACTTTTTTTTTCAATGGAATTTGAATATGGAAACAGTTCAATCCGGCCGAATACCTTCATATGATTAGCATTTCTTTGTCTAAATCTTCATATCAATAACTGGTGAAAGACCAGTCTTGTTGAATATATAAAAAAGGATTTTTCAGATAGCCTAATTTCTTTTAAATTACTTCAAATTTAGGATTTCCCCCTGTTTCTATATCTTATGTTTCTGTTGTACATTTTACACATCTAATAAGTCTCAGTTGCGAAGTGTTGTTTTTAAGCCTTTGACTCAAGCTCTAAAGATTGTTAGATTATAGACTGTCCCTTGTTTCGCTAGTATATACGTTTCTGAGATCATGGCGATTGTTGGCGGAGCCACAGAGTTTCGAACAGACAAGCAAAAACACATGGATATAGTCATCATCCTGTATAGATATTGCAGAGAATGGAGTCAGTCAGCCGCTGGTGCTGAAGAACGATCCCTCCATGAGCACACTCAACCAGGTGACGTCATCGTGTATACTGATGGCTCAGTGATTTGTCTGGATGGACACAGATGAACTGGAAGACAGTAACAGAAGAAAGTCGTGCACTGAGTTCAACTACTTCTAGTATGATGATGGAGAAAGCATTACAGTAGCACGTGCATGGCTTGTGGAACAGAAAGCAACTCACGTGTTGATACAGATAGACTCAATGAGCATGTTTAAGCAGATCCGAACAGACAGACTCTGATATAATGGGTTGACAGTACCCGGAAGTGCCACCTGAAGAAACTATCTTGTCTGTACACGCCGGGGGCTGACAGGAAGTGATAAAACAGGCAGACTCTGATATAATGGGTTGACAGTACCCGGAAGTGCCACCTGAAGAAACTGTCTTGTCTGTACACGCCGGGGGGGGGGGGGGGGGGAGGAAGTGATAAAACAGGCAGACTCTGATATAATGGGTTGACAGTACCCGGAAGTGCAAACTGAAGAAACTATCTTGTCTGTACACGCCGTGGGGTGACAGGAAGTGATAAAACAGGCAGACTCTGATATAATGGGTTGACAGTACCCGGAAGTGCCACCTGAAGAAACTATCTTGTCTGTACACGCCGTGGGGTGACAGGAAGTGATAAAACAGGCAGACTCTGATATAATGGGTTGACAGTACCCGGAAGTGCCACCTGAAGAAACTATCTTGTCTGTACACGCCGTGGGGTGACAGGAAGTGATAAAACAGGCAAACTCTGATATAATGGGTTGACAGTACCCGGAAGTGCCACCTGAAGAAACTATCTTGTCTGTACACGCCGTGGGGTGACAGGAAGGGATAAAACAGGCAGACTCTGATATAATGGGTTGACAGTACCCGGAAGTGCCACCTGAAGAAACTATCTTGTCTGTGACAGGAAGTGATAAAACAGGCAGACTCTGATATAATGGGTTGACAGTACCCGGAAGTGCCACCTGAAGAAACTATCTTGTCTGTGACAGGAAGGGATAAATCAGGCAGACTCTAATATAATGGGTTGACAGTACCCGGAAGTGCCACCTGAAGAAACTATCTTGTCTGTGACAGGAAGGGATAAAACAGGCAGACTCTGATATAATGGGTTGACAGTACCCGGAAGTGCCACCTGAAGAAACTATCTTGTCTGTACACGCCGTGGGGTGACAGGAAGGGATAAAACAGGCAGACTCTGATATAATGGGTTGACAGTACCCGGAAGTGCCACCTGAAGAAACTATCTAGTCTGTGACAGGAAGTGATAAAACAGGCAGACTCTGATATAATGGGTTGACAGTACCCGGAAGTGCCACCTGAAGAAACTATCTTGTCTGTGACAGGAAGTGATAAAACAGGCAGACTGGATGTGTCTGCAACGGTTGTTAACGGAAGAAGAATGGACAGGGCAGACACAATTAACGCTTTGCGTTCCAGAGACGTTTAAACAAACAGAGTCTCTTGGAAATGAGTATTCAATGAGGACAAGCATGCAGAGGTTGGTTTTGGATCAAAGAATGAAAATACCCCCCCCCCCCTCCCCGAAAAGCATCTTTTATCGGTGGACGGAGCACAAATAGGTCGGATCGATGGGCTATGACGTAAATATACGGTCAAGCAAATATAGATCTGGTGACATCTGCCTAGATCACAACCTGCACTTATAAGCCTCTGGTAGAAACAGTGTCAGAAACACAAGTGCATTCCTGACAAGAGCTGAGGGTTACAACAGGCTGGTGTACCGTTAGGTGCTTGCTGTCACAGT